CAAGGGATGCTGCCTCCTTGCTGTAGGATAAGCCGGGCCTCCACTTTCTGCTCTGGTGGACGGAGATCAGGACAGCGCCTGTCGCGGTTGGGCGAACTCCATGAGGTGGTGCCTGTGAGGCAGAGCTGCTGGGGGCCCCGCCCTATCCCCTCAGTGCTCACGTTGCTGATGGCCCGATGGCTTCTTAGTTTGCGCTGGTCACAGGAGCATGCTCTGCACACCCGAGGACCGGAGGCGCCAGGGAGGTAGCACTCCCTTTCCCCAAAGGCAGGAGTCAGAGCGTAAAGAATCAGCCTCTTTGCCTCTCAGGTGGTGCAGGCCGGGTGGATCCCTCGCAGCCCCCCGTACTCCCAGGAAGATGAGCGCCAGTGGCCGTGGCAGCCTGCTCATTAGTGCAGATCGTGGCCCCCTCCCTTCCCCGGCTCACTTCCTCAATCCCCTCCTGGTGCCTCTTGGGACCTCCTCCCAACTAAATTCTTGTGCTCAAATCCGTCTCAGGGTCTGCTTCTGGGAAACCCAATCCAAGAGAGCTTCTAAAGTGCTGGACAGGCAGAAGACATTTGATAAATGTTAGCTGGCTCACTCGTCTGAAAGCTTCTCAGAGGCAGAAGGTACCCATTTGGATACGAGTGTCTCCCCAGCTCCAGGTGCTGCAGGGAAGGTCCCTGGTACAGGTGTGTTGAATGAATCGACAGCCATGCTCCTTTTGCCCCCCATCCTTTCCAGCCCTCCCTTTCCTGGGCTCATTCTTGGGCTCACTCTCCTTTCTCCCAGACCCTTTCCTGGCCTTCCTTTTTTTCTCTTCTCCTCTCATGGAGGAAGGATGCTCTGTGTCCAAAATGCCCCTCTGCCATCCCTAAAGTTCCGCTCTGGAAATGAGCCTCCTGCAGCATTGTGACATCACTGTGCATTAGCCAATGGCAGCCCAGCTGGGCTGGGCCCTTGGCCTTCTGGGTCCGCCAGCCTCTACTGATAGGAGAAGGCAACTTCTCCTGCAGGACCCCTTAATCTTCAGGGCAGCTCCCAGAGCATGGAGCCTTCCTGATTCCGCTCTTAGCCCAATGTTCCTCACAGTCAAGCTGCTCTTGGGCCGGAGATGCAGCCTGAAGGTGTCGGGACACGAGAGCATAGCCACCCTGAAGAAGCTGGTGTCCGAGCGGCTGCAGGTGCCCGAGGAGCGGCAGCACCTGCTCTTCCGTGGCCAGCTCCTGGCCTACGATAAGTGCCTCTCGGACTATTGCATTGGGCCCAATGCCTCCATCAACGTCATCATGCGGCCCTTGAAGAATATGGCACTAAAGGAGGCCCACCAGCCCCAGCCCCAGCCCCTGTGGCACCAGCTGGACCGGGTCCTAGCCAAGCACTTTGAACCACAGGATGCCGAGGCAGTGCTGCGGCTGCTGAGGCAGGAGCACAAGCAGCGCCTGCAGAGGATAAGCCTGGAGGACCTGGAGCAGCTGGCGCGGTCCCTCCTGGTGGAGGAGCAGCACCGCCCGGCAGGAGAGAGGGAGCCCAGGGCTGTGGCCTCAGAGCCCCTGCGACACGGAGGAGGAGGAGGCAGCAGTGGTGGTAGCTGATCAGTAAACTGCCGTCCTACTCATTTGCATGCTAAAATTCTCCTGGCCTCGTCCTTACGTGTTCCCTGGTGACTTTTCCCACTACTTCCCGCTGATGTAGATGCAGCCACGCCCCTTTTTTGAAACTTCAAAGCAGCTGGAGGATTTTTGAATCCCTCTGTTTCCTCTTAGGTCTGAGGTCCCCCCTCTGGAATACAAAATGATTGCACCCCATCATCACCCCCTAGAAGGGTTCTGATCATCGAGGGCAGCCCTGAAGGCCACATCCCCCTTCTGGGCTGGGCAGCTTTGTCCAGCCATGCTCAGCAACGCCCCAGGCTGCCAGCAGTGCCCCTGGCCCGGGGCGTCCACGGCTCTGGAGAGACCCTCTTTCCCCTGTGGAACAGAAAGAATGTGAGTTCACTTCCCTCCATCCTCAGACTATGGCGTATGCCCCCAGACCCCCGACAGCCAAGAGACAAGGAATATCAGGTAGCTGCCCCTTGCCCCCTGGGAGAGGCTACCCCTGCAATCTGCCTGCTTGTGCTTCCACAGCTTAAGGGGCAGGGACAGCAGAGGTAGGAGTAGGAGGAGAGCACCTACTGGGCGCCAGGCCTGGAGCTCTCAGGGAGGTAGACACAGACCAAGAATAGCAGGAAACTGAGCCTCAGGCAGGAAGAATTTTGCAAAGTCACACACTCGCTGTGGCCAGCGTGAACAGAGCCGCGCCCCACCATCCCCAGTCTGATCCATCAGTGGGTGTCGCTGAGCTCCCGCTGCTTGCCCAGCACTGCCCAGGCCCCCGGGGGGAAACACGGCGTCCGGCAGCCAGGATCCTCGCCCTCCCAGCGCGCGTGGATGGATGGAGAGAGGGGTGTAATGTGAAAAGCAAAACGCAACGTGAAACTCGAGCATGGCCTGTGTGACCAAATGCCCAGGTGCCTCACAGGGCCCTAGGTTCAGCACGGAGGTCCTTTTCTCTGTTCTTGGTGTGAGACAGTGGTCCTTGCAGAGGGCCGAGGACTCCCCAGGACTCAGTGTGGGCTGGCTGTGCCCAGCACCTGCAGGTCGTGGGTGGGGGAGCCCAGGCCTGTTCCTTGGGTCCCGTCCAATCCGCGCCTGCTCCTGGGCCCTTCGTCTCAGCAGGGGGTGCCTCTTGACAGTTCTGCGAGTATGTTTGTGCTGGGGCTGTGCCATTTGCCAAGGGAGACAAGCCTATTATCTTTACATTAGAGGAACTAATAGCCCATTTCCCAGGAAATCTGTGGGCGATAAAAATAAGTGGGCCGTTTTATTCCTTTTGCTGAGAGAAGCCTTTGTTTTCTCTCTAGTCAGTGGGAGTGTCAGGGCTGGCCGGAGCGAGCCAGGGGAGGCAGCCACCTCCACTGTGTCTGTCCCCAGTGCTGCAGGGGAGGATATCTCCCGTCCCAATCTGGGAAGAAGGAAAGTCGGTCTGCCCTTCCATGCCACGGTGTGTCTCCCACTCCTGACTGCCCCTTCCCAAGGGGTCTTCTGCCCGGTCTCTCCCCTCCAAAGCTGAGCACAGGAGAGGACGCACTAGCACTTGAAACTTAGCAAGAGTTGCATCTGTTCCTTACGTCTCCCAGGGATAGTTTTCGTCAATGCCGTGTTTCTCTTTGTGAGGTGACAGGCTTTGTCCCCTAATGCAGCGGTCCCCAAACTTTTTGGCACCAGGGACCAGTTTCAAGACAATTTTTCCGTGGATGGGAGAGGAGGAAGGGGAGCTCAGGTGGTGATGCGAGTGATGGGGAGATGGCTCGGGCCGCCCCCCACCCCTTTCTTAAGTTTCACAGAAGACAATTTTTCCATGGTGGCAGAACCCTGCAGCCCGGTCCCTAACAGGCCGTGGACAGGTACTGGTCTGAGGCCCAGGGGTTGGGGACCACAGCCCTAATGGATGAATTTATAGTTATCAGGGAACAGCAGGCGGGGGTATGTTACGAGGTTAGGGGCAGGATCAGCCTCTCATACTGCAGTGGTGGGTTAGAATCCTGTTCTGTGTGAGGAATACTAGCTCTTGGGCCACCTGCTATGGGAACCCTTCACTGTGCCCCGTTTCACTTTATTTTAAACTTAAACCTGTGCCAGCAAACCAGCTGAAAGCTCCTTGTTCCCTTTTCTGCTTCCCTGCGTGGGGGACAGTGGGAATGGGGAAGGCGCTCTTTCTAAACTGCAGCCTCGGGCAGATGAGCTCTTCCTCTTAGCTTCCCACAGCACCTCTCTCCAACCGTGAAAGGACACATGCATCCTACAGGTAACAGCTGTGCGCCACTAGGAGGCATCTCAGGACAGCTGCCGCATCCAGGCAGCCAGCTTTGTGTTCCCATCCTCGGAGAAACCTGGCTTCTCATCCTAGCTCCTTTCTAAATTACCTGCAGGCCAGCGCCCCTCTGTCCCCGGGCCCTGGCAGGTAGTCTCTGTGATGGAAACAGGCACAGCATCCTGGCTCGGGCGCCATTGCATCAGTCCTCTATTCTTCAGTAATAAACATGTATGGGCCTCTGTCTTAGTCTGTCCAGGCTGCTATAACCAAACACCTTAGACTGGATAATTTATAAAGTGCAGACATTTATTATTCACAGTTCTGAAGGCTGGGAAGTCCAAAGTCAAGGTGCCATCAGATTTGATGCTTGGGCCAGGCTCAGTGGCTCACACCTGTAATCCCAGCACTTTGGGAGGCTAAGGCAGGAAGGCAGGAGGATCGCTTGAGGCCAGGAGTTCGGGACCAGATTTGGTGTCTGGTGAGGACTTGCTCTTCATTGATGATGCCTTCTGCATGTCCTCACATGGAAGAAAGGCAAACATGCTTCCTTCGATCTCTTTTATAACTAATCCCATTCATAAGGGCGAACCCTCATGACTTCATCACTTCCCCAAAGGCCCCACCTCTTAATACTATCACATTGGAGATTAAGTTTCAACATATGAATTTTGGGGCACACCAGCATTCAGACCACAGCAGCCTCCTGCTCATGCCAGGCTTTGTGCTGGGGACTTAGGTTGGAAGACGAGGAGTCCAGTCTCCTAGACAGAGAGTAGCGTGCCCCCTTGCTGTCCCCTGCAGCTCAGTGCAGCAGAGGGGCTTGGGGAAACCCCTGGCCTGCCACCTTGGCCTGTGATTGAGAGGCAGTGATGCGTTTGTAGGTAGCAATATTGCTTTTAACCCTAGCCCTGAATGTTGGAGCAGGGAATAGTCCGTCAGGATGAAAAGTCTGGCTGGTGTGGAAGAAGCTTATCATGTTCCAGGGCTCCAGAGAGCCTGGGTGCCCGATTCTAGAAGCAAGCCCCAGTCCTCTCCTCTCCTTCCACCGCCACTTACTCTCCTCCCCCTGCCTCTTACTCAGGATTAAGTGAGATTATAGTTATCATGTAAGTTTTCCAGTTGTTTTATTTTTATTTTTTACTTTGTATTTTTTTGGAGACAAGGTCTCATTCTGTCATCCAGGCTGGAGTGCACTGGCATCATCATAGTTCACTGCGGCCTTGAACTCCTGGGCTCAAGCGATCCTCCTGCCTCAGCCTCCCGAATAGCTGGGACTATAGGTACACAACTCCATGCTCAGCTAATTTTTCTTATTTTTTTGTAGAGACAGGGGTCTCTATGGTGCCCAGGCTGATCTCAAACTTGTGGACTCAAATGATCCCCCCCACCTCAGCCTCCCAAAGTGCAGGGATTACAGGTGCGAGCCACCATTGCCTGGCTTCAGTTGTTTTAAACTGGGGAAGAAAGGTGCAGGTAGAAGGAAGTAGAAGGCAAGGTTGCACTTCCCCAGAAAAGTGACAGGCTCTAGTCGAGATGCCTGAGGGAGGACAGGGCAGCACTTTGTTGAGATATGCACGGGTAGGACAGGCAAGGCTCTGCTCATCTCCTGTCTGTGCTGGGAGAGGTTTCACTGGGGTAATGAGGGCTAGGGATAGAATATCAGCTTCTATTTCTATATCTGGGACTTAGCTTGACTTTGCTTTTGCTGAATAAATATCCACATGGAAAAGGCTATAGTAAATGCAGTATGCTCTTTGGGATGCAGTTCTAGAACCGTTGATATTCCTCATATTTGGGGATGGTCCTGTTAGTGGGAGAATCACTGTAAATGGAAGGCTGGAAGTACTGAGTCTGGGTCATCACATCAGGACTGATTTGACAAAAGCACCTGCTATGTAATGGAATGATCAGGCCGACCCCTAAACAGGCCCATTCTGATAGCCAGAGATCCCGGTGTGGGAAGCCCTGTGCTGGGCACAGGCTGGGACCCAGTGTCAGCTCTACCATTTGCCCTGGGCCTTGGGAAAGTCACTTCATATCTCTGGAGCAGAGGCTCCTCTCATTTGCAAAATAGAAGAAAGGGCTGGACCTGAACTCTGCGGTGCCTTCCCGTGCTACAGTTCTATGATGGCGTGAAGTCACAAACAGGAGCTGCCGATGCCCCAGGCTGCGACACAGCAACAGGAGCCGGCCCTGTACAGGGCCTTGACCACACGTCAGGGTCGGACATTTATCGTAACGATGGACCACGGTGAGATGGTCAGGATGGATTGCTACCAAATAGCAAGGATGTTACACAGTTTTGTAAAGGCATATGAAGCTTAAAATCATACATAACACCATAGATATTATTTAAGGATGCACGCCTAGGAAAATATTAAGAAACGTTTGGTAGGAATGGAAATGCAACCAAGGAAAAGTTCACAAGGGCTTCAATTATATTGTAGATTTTATTATATCAAGTGACAGGTGCATGGGTATTAGTTTTCTATTGCTGTATAACAAATTATACTCGGTATACTTGGGGGATTGGTTCCAGGACCACCACCAACTCAAGTGTGCCAAAATCCACGTGTACTGAAGTCCCAGAGTGGGCCCCAAGGAACCTGAGTATAAAAAAGTCAGCCCTCCGTATAAAGGGGTTTCAGATCCCTCAATACTATATTTTGAATTCAAGTTTGGTTGAAAAAAGTCCATATAAAAGTATATCCTCACAGTTCAAACCCATGTTGTTCAAGGGTCAA